TAAAAAAAAAAAAAAAAAGGTCACACTTATACATAAGTTTTCCAGACGCCAGGGCCTGGCTCTGAGTTTCAGGGCTTGCACCCTCTTCCTTGGTCTTCAGGATGAGGGGGAAGAGTCTCAGGGTGAGAATGCTACCTTGAAAAGGGTGTGGATGGATGGGTATACGGGTGGACAGATTTATTGATAGATGGTAGATAGATAGTAGATAGATAGATAGATAGATAGATAGATAGATAGATAGATAGATAGATAGATGGATAGATAGATAGACAGGCAAACAGGCAAACAGGCAGACAGGGCTACTTTTCAGATGGATAGACTCAATTAAAGAAAACACAGTCCTGAGTTTGCAAGACCGGAACAGGGCTGTTGATGATAGAGTGATCTAGAGATCTTCCGTTCATAGGGTTGCCATAAGTCAAAAGTCAACTTGATGGCAGTTAACAACAACAACAACAACAACAACACATTTAAAAACAATCATGTGTGATTTGACATTGCATTCCAGCAATATTTTCTGTTAGAAACATTTTGTGAATCATGACATATTGAATCTCAAGAGAGAAAGTTACTCACAGGTATTTCAGGTTCTCAAGCTCTTGAAATGACCCTCGTGCAATGTGCTTTATTTGATTGTTGTTCAAAAGTCTGTTGGGAGAAAAAAAAGAGAAGGTGAAAGAAAGCAATTGATGGTTGATGGGTATGATAGAGGTTTAATAAGTACAGCCTTTGCCAAACAGGAACAATTGGAGGATACACAACTGGAGAGGGGAGGGAATTCAAACTATACAAGGGTTGGAAAGTTAAAACCTCCCCAGCATGGTAGCTGATTTCTACACTGGCAGGGGCTGGACTAGATGACCCTTAGGATACCTTCCACCTTTAATGTCATGATTTGAAAGAAGAACTTCTGTAGTGTCTTTGCTCTTAAAAAAAAAAAAACAACAACAACAACCCAGAACCACACACATTTGGATCCCACGTCTCCCTGTGGTCTCATCTAGTTGCGCCCTTAGACTAATGCACACATTTAGCTTCTTTTCAAAAACAGACCATCAACTCCAAAACATGCTTGCAATATTATTTGGAAAGTAGTGTCCTTTTTAGAGAGTGGGACACTCTCAGGGTTGGAAGGTCAACAAGCTCCATTGGGAGCATAGTTATGGCAGTGATTCCTCAAAGAAGAATTCTGCACCCCCAATGAAATTGTCCATCAATCCCCAAATTTCTAGTATTGCAAAAAGTGAGACTCTGGAAAATTGTTTACAACTAAAACTCTCCTATTTGCTGTGTTAGCATTTCTTTGGTCACTTCACCTGCCTCTTTCCTTTGGCTTTGGGGCCGGATCAGACAGCCCATTAAAGACGTCTTCCAGGCATCTTGGGAGCATGGTGCTTACATGCCATATGCTCTGATGATGCCTGGAAGCCAGTGGCTGTCCAGACACTGGCAGCTTCAAGATGCTCCGGCGGCATGATGTTTACATGCCGCCGGAGCATCTTGAAGCCACCCTGGGTTGCAGTGGGGCTGGGAAAACCAGCTCTTTCCCGGCCCAAATAGGAGTGGATCTTTTCCACTCCTATTTGGGCCGAGTTCAAGGCAGATTGGGGCCATGGCATGTGTTTGCCACAGCCCATTTGCGTTTTTGGCAGGGACAGCAGACTAAGGAGAATATCACACTGGAGGCTCATTAAAGTGTCCTTAAAGCATCCAAAATACTCCAAATCGCATGATTGGGGTTCATATCTCTGCACGCTTCTCACGTCAGTAAAATGTCAGTAAAATGTCATGGATGCATCAGTAACACGTCCTTGGAGCCGTCATTTGGCAATAATGGAAGATGGGCGCATTACTGATGGGATAAGCCAGCAGGAACACTTCTATGACACTTTACTGATGTGAGAAGCATGTGGGGATGTGAACCCCAATCGCGCAATTTGGATTATTTCGGACACCTTAAAGACACTTTAATGATGGTAAGCCTCCCATATGATATTCTCCCAAGGGTCTGTTCTGGCCCTTAGTATTTCCAAGTGCTCAACTGAAGTTTAACTTACTGCAGTGCTAGAACGCAAAGATATAGCCGTGTTTGTCTGTAGAATCAGTACGTAGAGAGATCTTGTTGTCCCTTTGACACTAACTGAAAGAAAGATAGTGGCCGATTTCTTTCTCAAAGGTGCTACAAGATCTCTCTATGCAATGCTAGAAGTCTGTGGAGTGAAGGAAAATTTCATTGGTGGGGCAGAATTATTACCTGGTGGGGCTCAATGCCCATATTTTGCCCCCCTCCCACAGGTACACTCCTGCCAATGGTCCTAATGAAGGTAAGTTGGCAGAACAGCAGAGGAAAGGTCAGGACTGACCCATGAAGATCCTGCTTGCAATCTGTACTCTGTACTCAGCCCTGTTTTCACATTTGTTGTCATAATATGCCTTTCCAGTCCCACAGCGCTTGAGAAAAAGCCTCCAGGCAGTGGATTCCATGCTAATCTTTTGGCATTATTTTTCAACCCTTGGCAAATAAAAATCCTAGCTTGTTTTGAACAAATCTAAAATGTTCTCAATCATTTCCGAAGCCACCCCTGTTGAGGGTTTAACCCAAGGCAATTTAGCAACCCCATTATTATTCATGATTTATCTGCTTATTACATTTTCCCCTGATTTCTGAGAGGCTTGCCATAAAGTCAGGTTACACAATTTTAAAAAAATTAAATATTTTTTAAAAAGGTATTTGAACAGTATAAAAGCATAAGAAACAATTAAACAACTAAACAAAATTTAAAACAGTGTAAAACCATGTATACTTCCAGGCATGGGCAAAATCATTAGGCTCCAGATGACTTGAATTTTTTAAAAATGGAATTTTTAAAAAATGGAAACCAGCACTGAAACTAGCTTTGGTGTCACAGTACCACAGTAGAGAAGGCCCTCTCATTTTAACTTCTTCTTGTTGTTTTGTGCCTTCAAGTTAATTCTCACTTATGATGATCGCATCATCAAGTTTTCTTGGCAAGATTTGTCAAGAGAGGGGTTGCCATTACCTTCCTCTGAGATTCGGAGAGTTTGCCTTGCCCAAGGCCACCCAATAGATTTCCATGGCTGAATGGGGATCGCAACCTTGGATTGAGTGTCTGAATCCAATACGCAAATAGAACTTCCACAATAACCATTTAAAAGGCATAGCATTGGTTTCATTCTTATCAAAGAAACACTGAGACTGTGGCTTACAAACAAATGATCTCACTCTTCTTCCAAATTATTCGGGGTGGTATACATACTTCAAGGTAGGATGTCTCACATTTGAAAAATAAGAAAATCTGCACTCAGCAAATGCAAAGGGAAAACCAACCA